GATGCTTAGACCACAAACCACTACACGGTGGTACGCGAGTGCGAGATGGCGTAAAGACGGATTAATGCACGGCAACTCACTGCTCCTTCTCCTGCTTATCCCAAGCCACCAACTCTTCAAACTCCTTCCAAGTTAGACCTGGCAGTGGCTCGCCGGTCGTCAGGTGCTGTTGGTTTCTAATGTGCTCCATCACCTTTTCATTGCGTCGCAAAAATCTACCAATGGGCGACTGAGACCGGGCCTGCACTTTTGTCCTGGTGGGCAGTGTGGACGTGAACAGAGGCGGAACTGAACGCGAAGATTTGATGCGGCGCTCCTTTAACTGCCTGAATGCACGGCGCGATTCCAGCTGACGCAATTTCAACTTGAAACAAAACACAGAACAGACTTGAAGGTCATCGAACCAGCCAATCAACTAACCGTCGGGTGGCTATGATGTGTGCGTCTCACTTTTTACAGATTTTTCAGCAAATTTGTCTAACATGAGAAAATGGAAAACAAGGAAATTAATCCTGGAAATACTGTCCATCATTTCCTATGATCTTGTCCCATCTCACAGGTAACCTTCAAACGCCATCGCGGATAAACCTTGCAGGCTTCGCGACAGTAAATTCATTGACGAATTCACGCACATCGACCAGCGTTTTGAAATGCCAATTTACTTAGGTGTGTTGTATTGACCGGAACAAACAGCCATCAGAAGGAGCCAAGTCTGATGAATATGCCACATTTGGGAGACATTTTCACCCCAAGTTCAAGAGGATCTTCTGAGTCGTGCGAGCAACGTGAGGTGGTCGAGCGTTGTCATGCAGCAGCAGCAGCAGCGGCAGCAGCAGCAGGATGTCTTGCCAGCCTCCTTACTCAGTAAATGGCCATTTCCGATCAAGTTCTTCGCTTAGTTTGTTCACTTGTCGGTTATAGCGTTCCGTAGCCATCATCTGACCAGTTCCCATGACTGACACCCCTCATATTCCCACGCCAGATACACAGAAGAATCCCCTTCAAGTGGACGTCCCGTTTAGGCGTCGATGTGCTGGGTTGCCCCAGATCAACCTATGAATTTTTACGGTTGGGATTCCTGTGCAAAATATGCTTCTCATCATCCGTCATATTTTTTCACAAAAGTCCATTCACTGCTTCACATGCGGGACCCAACTTCTAAGTTGTTGAATTTTTCCCATTTGGTGCAAACGCTTGGACTTGGCTGTTTGGGTGACTCCTAACTAAGCTGGAAGCTCCTTTTGCGTTTGCCTTGAGATTTCATCCAGTAGAGCTTGCGATTCCGCATCTTCAAACTTTCGAGGCTGCTGTCCGGGGCGCGGCTGTTCACTCAGATCGAAATCACCACTTGTAAAAAGTGTGTGCTAGTGATTAAACATTTCATAAGACACAACGTCTGCAGCACCAAGAACTCTACAAATGGATTCCCGCAGTTTGGTGTTCTTAAACCGTGTGTCTGGCGCTTTCGAAGTCCCAAAAGACCTCGAAAATAATTCTATTTCAAAAAAAACTTCAAGCTCAAAGAAAATACCTCTTCAAACTAAGTCATCCACCTAATCATTCAGTGTAGAGTAAGGCGTTGCCATAGACTAGGAGTTGCGCGAAGACACAGGTTTTCAAAAAAATAATGGAGCTCTTTGCTCACTGTGGAAATTAATCGATATCGGTGCCTCCTCACCTGCCAACCGAGGTTGTACTTCCGAGCCTGGATCCGATGGAGCTCCCTGGCGCGTTCGTCGCACATTTTTTCCAACTGCGACTTCACCCGCTGCAGACAGGCAGCAACGCGATCTCGAAATTCAACGGCTCGGTTCAGTTGCTTTACCAGTACCTGGAACAACCAATCGGAACTTTATTGTCTTTTATCTGATTGATTCAAAATGTCAGGATTATGGGTGTGCCAAGGTCTTCACAGTATAACACTCCACGCCCGACACGTTAACGACTCAAATCGGAGGCGGTGAAGTTGGCTAAATGGGGGTCTGAACCATCGTTGTCTCATTGGCTAACTATGCCTGAATTATAAATATCAACCTCATTCTTCACACTCGTGTAAATGTGCGATCGGATCCAGCTGTAAAGCAATTTTTAACGCAAGTTCGCAAGTAACTCGTTTTCCGTCATCGTTACGGCAGTGCCAAATCTAATTTTCGTGGATTATTCTCTGGATGTCAAAGCCAGCGCCTAACTATGACTTGGTGTGAATGAGTGTTTGTGCAAGACGCTTACCCTCTAGTGAATCGTGTTGATTCTGGTCCTTTAACTTGACCCTCGCCCCCGAAACCTTCTGTGCGTACACCCCTCCACTCGTTTCTTCCATCTAACCAATCAGCGATTGGTTGTTTCACGGGCTCACCCAGACTCTACAGATCAACATTCCTCATTAGACGGTCACGACCTTTTGTGCACAGGGGGGGGGGGAACTCAAGTAGGCTAAGACGTCTGGCAAACGGTTGTCTCTACCAGCGTCGTAATCAGGCCATTTCTGCGTGATCTCGAACCTCACCAGACAGTCTTCACTAGGTTTAAGAAATTTCTGAAATTCGCAACACCTCGCAGTTCCTTCTCCCAAATGTTTAACCTCTAGCGTAAAGAAGAAACGCACCTTGGCCTGATTACGCCTCCTGACTGGAATAGGAACCACGGTGATGTTGCCCTAAAAACGAGGAAAACAGCGAAGAGACCAACCAATAACCGAACGGTCAAGCCAGAATGGCTGTTAACCGTCGAAGAGACCAACCAATAACCGAACGGTCAAGCCAGAATGGCTGTTAACCGTCGAAGAGACCAACCAATAACCGAACGATCAAGCCAAAATGGCCGTTAAACGGTTGAAGTTGGCAGGTTCTTCGGCTTGCCATGGAATTACCTCGTCTCTAGAAAAAGGTTTTGCGTTAGGTAAGGAAGAATACGGCAGCCTACCCCTCTTTGAGTGTTACCGTTGAACCTTAAAAGACAAAAAACGACTTTTTTTACGTATTTAGAGAAGCGAAAACACCGCTGTTCACATCGAAACTGACTACTCAATCCAGCTACGTAAGGAGATGACGTGGCGAACGCCTATTCAAGACACGGAATCAGGGACTTTTCACTGAGGCCAAATCCCATAAAATACCAGTTTGATTTAAGAATTTCTAATTGTAGGGCCTCCTACAACACCCTGTTCCAAGCACTGTTTAATTGAATCTAACCAATGACGGTTGTCTGAACATTTTTGCTCAACAGGAAATGTCCGTCTAACGAGGCAGTGTACCCCAGCCGAACGAAAATCGTGGCTTTGATTAATGAAATCGATGGGTCCACATCGAAAGGTACGGAGGCAAGCGACGGGAGTCCAGTAACCCCCTCCGTCGCCGTTTTAGCGCCGGCACGTCCAGACGTGTCCGTTTTTGAGACTTACAGGTGTACACGACCTTGAGTGTACACGAACAGAGCCTATGGCATGAGCCTGCGATCCACTGTCTACTTAGTTCCACGGATCCTGTTGGATGAATGTGACACCTGTTGGAGCGAACTACGCGCTTCAGTCACCTGTCATGGAAGCACAACTCGGCGGCCTAAGCGAGCCGTCGCCGCGCTGCGGCGTGACATTCCGACTTCTCGACATCCGCGTTATTCGCGGCGTGGAGGGCTGTCGGCTGGAGAGCCTGGGCGTTGATAGGTGGGTTTGGCACGGCGAGGGCACGTCGAGGACCTCCGTTTGAAGCAGATTCGGCGTGACGCTCAAGGCGACACAGGAGCTGTCGTCGAGCGTGGCGTTGTCGTTTATCTGCAGGTAGCACGGAGCAGCATCGCTCGGTGCCACGGCAGGAACCCCCAGACTTTGGGGGGAGAGCATTGCTTCAGCACTGTCGTCTGATGTCGGCACGGCGCTTGTCTCCAGCAGCATAATGTCGGAGCCTGATGCGGATTTTCGGTGTTTACGCGTCGAGCCCCCGACCCGGGCCGATTCGGTGGACCGTGATGCCACGGGAGACACTCCACTAAGGCTAGACCTGAGTCACGAAGCAGAAGAGATTCTCCGTGAATGACACAGGTTTCGCAGATCGATATAAAGTCATGGAAAGGTCGTGGCATAGTTACCGTACAATAACAGGTAAAATGTAACTCACATCCATTAACCCGGTCGTTGCAGTCTCCGCCAAGAGGACCTCATTTTCAGGGCATCCCTATCGATCATGCGAAACCGTCTATTCCCCCCCTCCCCCACACTACCGGCTTCATTCACCTGACCTCCAACTTCATTCAGTCAGATAGGATTCTTATGTGCAATGGTGCGACGGTCACAACTACTAAACGGTTTTGTCCCTGCTACCGCTGGTCTTCTTGTATTCTTTCGCTTTAGCGAGCATCCGAGTGGCGTAAACGGGCCAATTCCTACTCAGCGTGGCACTAGACAACATGCCGGGGTCTACAGCAAACCATGGCCGCATTTAAAGTGGATTGCTTAGAACGCGTTACTGCTAGTCTTTTCCGTCATTGTTAGGGATGTGGACAGATGAAACAACATGAAAAACGCAAACTACTTAAAGTGAACTTAATTTGATGGTTTTTTTTAGACTTCCTCTATGATTCTAAGCACCATGTTCCCGTGGTGAGAAATACTACTGCTTTCAGAAATAAGTAACCAGTTTTGTTTTAATTGATTTCACTCCCAGACACATTCGCATGACTGCTGCTTTGAGCAAACGCCGAAGGGCTTCACAAACGTCATACGTTAAGTGTTGCACCATTTCATTTAGATAACCAATAGAACAAGAGAATACAAATAACGCACGCGGATTGGAGTGGCCGACCGAATTCGTTGCTGTTATTCACTTCATTGACAGGTGTTTGGGAGTCTGGGTTCTCAGCATTCGCATGAGTAATCAAGTCGGCATCGTCTGGGGGTCAAAAGACAGCAGACATTACTGTGCAGCATTTCGGCTAATGATTTCGTGTCAGCCAATAAAATCCAGGCAAAACGCATTGCACAAATTTAATTTTAATTGGCTGACCAATGATTGAGTGGACAAATCTCAAAGTTTGGTCTGCAAGGATGCGTTTAGGTGCTAGACACTTGCAAAAAATGAGTCCATGATCCGACCCACTTCGTGACCCCCAGTGTCGCACATAGTGGGTCACTTACTCAGACTAAAGCCGTGATTCGCTGGTGTTATTTGTAGACAAAAGGTTGAGAAAGATTACAAGATTACGATAGCCAGAAGCTGAGCCTAATTGCAGTTCTCGTTGGCTGTTGATTGGGGCTATTTATTTGTATCACCTTACCGCCTGGTTTGTCCAACATAATTGGTGGCAGTTGATGGAATTTGCCGTTTGAAAAATCGGGTTGACTCCTGTAAAACAAGAGACTTGTTTTAATTGTTAAATAGGAAATGTCATTTCGTTTAGCCTATTTTTAAGACCGCTTAGGCACGGAGCAAAGATATTCACTCATGACGTGTCCCCCATTCCCCAATCGATTATGAGGCGCATCAAACGAGGTCATAGCTTAGTTATGGTGTCTTTCGATCTGTGGGCCACGGTATATCAACCGACTTTAGCATCTTTCTACAAATCCCCTAGTGGTGGTCATTTGAACTGGGGGCAACACGACGTGGGTTTGGCAATCAGGTAAAACATCATCAATTTGTTAATTTTGCGACGCAGTTTCGTTAAAAAGAGGTCACTTACGGAGCTGAGTAGAAATCGATTGGTGATGCTGGACGACCTATAAGCACGAACACGGCGAGGGGTTAAATATTTCAACATATACTCCTAAAACCGAAGTTTGGTTCATTCCATGCTACTTAAATCGCTTAAAGTAGAGGTGGGTTTCGAAAAACATTCCTCAAGTGCATTTCTCTGCGAGGAGATCACAACCCATAACTTTGATGAAGCAATAAATTCTCGATTTTGCACTACTATTTAATTGCAAGTAGGAATTTCGGCTGATTGTGTAGGTGAAGATAACATTGAGATAGATCAATCTGGTCGAAATAGGACAGTTAAAAAGATGATTTCAGGCGCAGTAAGAAGTTTGTCGTGAAGTACAACCGAGACTTGGTATGAAGAAGACTGGTACAACAGAACAGGCTTTATTGACCAATCACCGGGCAGTTCCACATGTCAGGCACCGTCCATCCGAGTCCACCACGCTGGCTACGCCGCTCTTTATATACCACTTCTCAAACGTGTCTGTCTCTGGTTGGCTGTCTATCATACTCGCGTGTCATTGGAAAATAAAGAGACACAGGATTGCCTGAAGCCCGTGTGATCTAATATGTCCGCGCCCCAATACGTCGCTACAGTACTTCTTGATTTCTTCCACTGAATCAATGTTCTGCCACTCAAATTAGCTTTCAATCAATCAAACGGATGCTGACATGAGAGTACACGGTCAGTGCAATGAGGCAGGCGCGCGGAGCATCTCTTGAAATTTTTGCGGTGTCTGCTAAAAGACACGCGGTATAGCGCTGCCATGGTGAAGAATGACGTCATTTCGATTTCAACTTTCCATATTGAGGTGAGTGAACTGCTCAAACGACTTTTTCACAGTTATTCTTTGGGCATAAATAGGTGTTCCACTGCAATCTCCCCACCTGACACACAAATCAATATTTGCAAGTGATTTTGCTCTTGCATGATCGTTACTGCCAATGCTGGGGTGTTGCCCAGAGTAAATGGGAAAGTCGAGATTGCAAGGCAGAGGGACACTTTTTTAAATTTAAAATACATCGTACTTGGAGCTTAATAGTAGTGATTTTGTTTCTGAGCCAGTTATTTCGAATGCGCTTGCACTAACTCTGCTCAGTGTAACCAATGAAAGAACTGAGGCTGTTCAATTTGCCTCAATAGTCAAACGCTTACCGGAGGTTCCCGTTTTAGCGCGCGTCTTTCCGGACGAATTGTTGTGTGCCCTGAAACCAAGACAGTCATGATGAGCCCAAGTTAGACTTGGCCAATCAGCATTTAAACATCCTGCCTCTACCAGTACCTCTGCAATGTTATGTCAAAACCCTAACCCCAAATCAATAAATGACACTTCAGTCATTATGCTCAAAGTAAAATCTGGTTTTAGAGTGCGAATAATACCTCGAATTAATCTAGCAGAACAGCTAGAGTATTGACTCGACACGGGGAGGCGTGGAGGTCAATTGGTAGCACCAAATAGCCATTTCTGATTTTTGACTCATAAATGGCAGTTACTTGTGCCCCGTCTTGTTGTGAATCAATAATCGGGTCACCCCAGCCTCCGACACAGGGTCAGCCTTTTCGCAGCGTGTCACCAGCCGCGCGGACTTTCAACTCCCCCTTCATTAGCGCAATCGATTATCCTAAATTCCCCTCACATCTAGGTCTCGATGTTGGCCCATCTATGACACACATCTAAGCTATATAAACACCACATACGACACAACGACACCAACGTGGTTGAGCTCTGAAGCGAACGCTTGTGCCCACGTGCTATCATCGGAGGTAACAGGGAAGCGCAATCGGGCCAGATTCAGCTCACAGGCCCCAATGTGATCCAAGACCACATGCTGGGGCCCACAGCAGTCTGATATGATGCCCTAACCTTGTGCTATCCTACCGTCTACGGTCAAATCGAAGCAGACAGTATTGATTACTTGACGACAAGAACATTCCGAATATGGAGTTAAGACATCGTGTAATGTTGAAACCTTATTTGTGATCATATTTAAACCCGGAAAATCTAAATTTTACCCAATGGCTTTCGTCGGAAAGCCACAGTGTCGCACAAATCCACACTTTAGTTACCATGTAACGGTGCATTCTAACTAAATTAAAATTAACACGCTTGCACTCACCAAGTTAGCTTCTGATGCTTAACCACCTTGGGCTTCTCCAGTACAAATGTTCGTGGGACTGTGACTGGTGTTTTTTGAGGTCGGAAGGAGCTCATCTGTGGCGGGAAGCGCGCACTTGAAAGAACAAAAATAGGACAAACTCACCCCACAAGGCTCAGTCCACGTCGGGTACTTTATTCGTTCTTTCGCCTTAAAAAAGTACATACAAGCTGAGTGAATTTGGCGTTTCGGTTGCCACGACAGTCTCATTCTGTGAAGGTCCATCAAGGGCCAATGAAAGCTAAGCTCTCTGACAGCCAATCAGAAGTTGGTGTGTGTGGAGCTGCAAATAAACTCCAGTGACCTCTTTCCGTTGGAATGCAAAAATTATGCAGCTTTTATTACAGTGATATTTTCAAGTTTAGGGATTACTGTTCAAACGACCATGAAGTGTAGGTTGTAAGCATTAAAAAAAATTGTAATTAAAGAGGGTGACGAAGCAGGTTAATTTATGGACGAGGACAAGATCTTACCTCATTATAGTCCCTCAAAAGCTCTGCCTTTCTAAAAAACGGAGGAATAAGGAAGCAAAGAGGATGGTATAATCGAGGTCCCTAACTTTTATCGATTTTATTGATGAATAGGGTTTAAATGCAATGCCGTTGCCTGCCTGGCCAATGAAATCTGACCAGATGCTACGTAAATACTTATTCAGATCTACCGAACTGTACTTGATTAAACGGAAGAGCTGGAAATGCATTTTCATCTCCAGGAAAATCTTTTAAAAGACGTTGTCGATATGAATCGGGGAGATGGCATGTTTCGCTCCTACCTTTTTTTCTGGAAATAAACTCACGTTTTATGTCCTTCGCCCCAAAGGTACTGCCGATAACTCAAACCTTCCAGAATCGCTCCTGGGGGAACCAGTTCACGCGCATCTGACATCCACTTCTGAGGGAATCTACAGATCATCGTGGTTAGTCACTCATTACGACGAAACCAGCAGTGATGGAGATGCTAAAGATTTCTTTGTTTTGATTTACTGCGATTCCCGACGTGCGTGGTGCCAAATCAAGTGAAACGTAAGCGGACAAGGTCACATCCTCGGCATTAGTGGTGTGTTTGATTAGCTCCTCAAAATATGGTGTCAAAAATCAGTACGACGGATTATAACTCACCTCTAAATCTACTACATGATTGACAACTCAGGCGTCCATTCTTTCTGAGGACGTGTGTTGAACTTCGGCAACAGTCAGACACCCGTTTCTTTTATAAGGACCGATAAAATCGATTATATCGGGACTCTGGCAGCCCCCTACCTTTCTATTCAGTAAGACTAACCTAGTTTACTAACGCTGTTAAGGCCTTCAATTTTTCACGGAGGAAGGGACAAAAGCGTAGTCGGTGAATCTTTTAAAGAAATCACACAGAAGTTGACATCTGCATTAGCGAAACAAATGACAACACGTTCAGAACTTCGGGTATTGATGGTTCATTTTCCCCAAGGTTTAGAGAACCTCCGCTTTATTAAAACAAAGGGCTTGATGGCATGTCATTTGAAGAGGTAATGTTAAGAGGTGAATCGAAAAAAAGATTATTCGATTTCTCATTTATCACTAAACCTCCATCTTCACACGGCCTCCATATTTAATGAGTCCCAAAACCAGGCTAGAATGGCACATTGTGTCCGATGTGTTCCAGGCACCGAAGGGTGTGCAAGGGAAATAGCGATAGCAAGCACGAACATACTCGATATTCTGCTTCAACATGCCGATGTAGGCTGCGGTCCCAGGGTCCGTGAGAGCAAATTCACAGCTGCGTCGCGAGGTCTAAAGTAATCATAAGTTTACCCCAGATTATGGATCATTAAACTAAGAAATGACGTGCATGGAATTCAACCTGCTACATGCTGGACGATCTGGCAAAATGACGCCATCAAGATGCCATTTGATTGGGACAAAAACTATCTAATTTCTAAAATTTCTGGTTTTTTCTATACGTGAAACCGAAATTGCTTTCTCGCCGATCGGCCTCCTTGTCTCGGTGGGCGAGGCCCTGCGCATTTTTTTCAAATTAAAATACGTCGTACTTAAAGCTCAAAAGTAGCCATTTGTTTTTAAGCGAGTTTATTCGAACGAGGTTGCAACTAACCCTGCTCTGCCGCAGCCAGCCTTCGGTGAGGAAGACGAGCTCCTTCGCGGTGACGGCTTGATCATCTCGGGGCGGAGCCATAGACGGTGGGTAAATCATCAAGTCTCCGCTATTTGGGAACAGAAGAACGCTGTTGTTAAAACTTCAAGGTCATTCAAGACAACCCTTAAAATTGGGTATTTATTTTCATGTTTCTTTCAGGACCTTGTGTGTACCCTGATTATCATAGTCAACAATAACATATTTTACCGCAAGTTTTAATGCGCTTTTAAAATTGATAATGTCTCGTTTGCCTTATGACTTAAGGCAATAATGGCATTTGAGCAGAATGACCAATAACATACAATGACCTTCATGAGTGATTGACATTGGCTTAGAGAGAAAATACGAGTGACATGTTTCGAACAAATGGCACCAAAGTTGGGCGTGCCTGCGCGAGTTCGTCCAAATTTTTAACTTAGAGCGCAGTGATGATGTTAAAAAGTGTTAGAAACGGGCACCAATGTTACAGAGCAGATTTAGTGGTGAGTGGAAATTCCTTACACGGTTATTTTTAAGCAACTCACTTAAAAAATTGCAAAAAAATTTAGCCCTACCGGCGGGTAGTCCGAGTTTTGGGTAAGCGGCGTCCGTCGGAATTTTCTGATTCAACGTCGTAAATTCGCATCACTTCTTCTAGCTAAATGTAATCGACAAATCTTTTTTTGCGAGGTCTGATGAGGCACCAGCAAGCTTAAAACAGACTAGAACATCCACTGAGATTATGTAATTCCAAGTCACATTCATGCATCCTAGCTTTTTTAATCCCAATTTACAAACGTGAATTGCATAGAACACAGAATAAAACGACATTCGTTTAATACACTACAGAGTATACGGCTTGCTGAAATATTGATTATCGGTAATTTAATGTGTCCTATTCTTCAGCTGTCTCAGGTATCGATTAGCAGGTTAATATCTAATTTACAGAGCCCGTATTTTTAAAGCTGATTTGACGCGGATATTTAAGTGATCCAAACACGTCAGCTTCCTTTCGATGTTGGATGGGGAACGCAAAAAGTTGTCTCAAGCCATTCATTGGCTGAAGTGTTGACAGGTAAACGGCGCCTATTTTGACCAATTGCAGTATCGAGTTTAAACAAAACATGAAACTGGACTATTTTATCCTAAAGTGACTGTTCCTCAGGGCAGTATTATTATTTTCGTCTTATTTAACAATAATCATTATATCAGAAACTAATGATTCCACTCAATCATAAACTGGAACTCCACAAAATCATTTTATTTTCAGCCACAAGTATATTTACTATAGCCAGACTACTTTAGTAATATCAGTAACAAGAATTTTTCATCTCACCGTTTTGGAAATCTTCAAATCCTCAAGAGCAATTCGACCACCCGGAAGACCGATGTGCTTGCACAACTCCGAAAACGGCACGGCATGTTTCCTGTGGCCTGGAACATATTAGATGGGGAATTTCACTTGTGACTACCACTGGTGCTTCGATCAGATCATGCCTACTTACTATTTATTAGTAGTTATACCAAACACTAAGGATTAGCTGCTCAAGCTGTCGTCTTTACCCAATTTTCGTATAAGCTGAGTTCAAGTGACCAAGTTATGGTGGTTTCAAAACACTATAAATTCGCCAGATACCGCTTAAATACAGATTACTTGCTTGAATCACTATTCAGCCAATTATAAATGTATCCAACCTGTGTTAATGCTTGAATTACACACTCAAATGCGCAACAATAAAACAATCCAAGATCTGAACTGATTTCCCGACCTGATTATTTTGCGAATTGTCATTTCGTAACGGCATTAACAGAACATGAAATAATTATCTAACTAAAAAAAGCCTATCCTCGATTTATAAAACCTTAATTTTCATACACGAATTTCGGTGGCGGTGCAAACGCAGAAATGTTCGAGCTATCGGGACTGATTTGCAGTAGCATCGATTTTTTGATCGATGCGAGGTCATCTATGCTATTACTGTCTTGGTAACAAATCAGTGGACTTGAAAAAAACACGCTTCGTCGACTGAATTGTTGGGGAAGACGACAAGCTCTAGTAGCCGATTTCAGCCAATTCAATCATTTCCATGAGTCTTTCAATGCCTAAACGATTAAATACTTCGTTGTGTTGGGATTCACAGACTCCATAAATCCCCAACAAACCAGATTACGAGCCGATTCCTACGCATAGCAATTTCGCCTGCTGACAAGGTTTCTACTAGACGAAAACAAGTGATGCTGCTACTCATCGAACAACCAAAACAATCCAATTTAAACAAGTTACGATGTAACACCAAAAGGAACGCAGAAATTAGGAAAAAAAAGTAATCAAATTTACCAGACGACATTCCACGTGCGTGCGTGGATGGTCAAATTTTAAATGACCCAATCGATGAAGACCGCGGGTGTGGATGCAAGCCAAAAGTGACCGTGAGATAAATCGCGCAAATTCTGGACTGTGAGTCATGACAGTAAGAATCGCCGTATTCGCTGCCTAAGGGTTGCGTAGACGCCCACCAATTATTGCCCATATTTGACGTCAAGGCACCTAATGACCACATAGCCCTCTAAGGAACTCGAATAACGTGCTGGGTGTCCACCGCACGACCCAACAATCGACTTGACAACTCAAAGAACCCACCTCACCCTGTACCCCCCCCTTTGCCAGTTGTATCATCAGACCCTGCATGGCGAGTCACAGACAGGTCCATAAACAGTTACCAAGTTGGCAAACTTTCGCCTGGAGGGCGACTACATACGCCACAGGTGTCACAGGCACTTTTACTGGAAACGAAAGCAGGCCCTAACTATATCCCTTCACTACAGCCAAGTGGACACATTGGTGAGCAGCTTAGCTTGCGTCCACGAGACAGGACGGGTAACCTGTGTGAAAACCAGACAAAGCAGAAAGAAATGACTGATTTGTGATAACAGGTATTAAATAAATGTCTTGTGGATAGGAGTGTGGCACATCACTCGTAGCCCGCGACAGCTTCCGCGATCTTCCAATTCGTCTCGAGCTTCTGGTTCTCGCTCACTTGAACACCACCGTCGGTTGTCACGACCGCGATTTTGTACATGTTGAAGGCACTACGACACGGGGGAAAAAGAAACACTGATGCACATAATAAAAGATGCAAATTTGACGAAAACGAAAGGCTGGCATATGCCCAAAGAACCAAGGCTACAATGGGATAGTCCTTAGGGTCGATAAATTGAATTTACGACCGAATATTTTTGGGAGTAGCTACTGTTGTCACAATAAGGTTTTAATGTAGTCAGAGAAAAAAGTCCACCAACCTAAGAAATTTTGAGGGAATTCTGGAGAGGCTGGGAATTATAATAATCACAAGATAATGCCTTTATAAAAAACTGAATTAGCCAATGAGCAACGTGAAGATAAAAAAGACCAAGTGTGTCAAACGGCTTCACTAGGCCTACTTCTTTCTAGACCATTTACCACGGAGACCAATAATACACGAAGCACACACTTCGTGGCAATACAAATCCGACCCCAAGGCGGGAAAGAACATTGTCTTACCGACAATCACGATAAAAGAGAAGAGTCATGGCCTCCTTGATGGCCTCTAAAGCGTCTTCGGGAGACAATGTGGATGCATCGTTGTTCGCTTTAGTTTCGATAACCTTTCGGAGGACTGGGATGGCCAAGTGAGCCCCAAAACCAGTTGCAACGCAGTCATCACTAAAGGCTAGAGATTGAAACAGTGTTGGAACAATCAGCAGCCAGATAAATATGAGCAATTATTTGATTCACAAAACAAAAAAATTAGGGATACTTACAAACGCCGATCATATTGCTATATCCCAGGTATGATTTCCCATCTTTTTGTACACCACCGACAACATACGTATTCCAGAGGGGGCTAAATTGACTTCGACGATAGTACAACACTCGCGTAATCCAGGAATGGAGGGCCTTTGGACTTAACGAGGTAAAGAAGAATATTAAATTACCTGGTCACAAAGCCGTCACCTAGAAGATTCTCAAGAAGGATCTGCTGATTAATGACTTTAGACAGTTGCTGGAAATCTGCAATATCGCCAGAACACCCCATTATAGTTTGGTCATTAATCTTAAAACGTAAACGAACAAATTGATCTACCTTGACAACACGATCGAAATTTGTATAACGTGCTAACGAACCATAAGACACAAGAGAATCGGCAGCTATCATTACGCCACCATTAAACCTTATGCCGATAACGGAAGTGCCACTACAAGTAGGATTCAGGGTGTGTTTTCTTGCGTCAGACATTGGCCCGATGAATGACTGAACAGGATGGATACTCATTTCGGCAAACCTGTAAAAAGATGACAACCACGAAAAATTAGTCAGTATTTCTGAATTCCGCAAACACAAAACAAGGACATTTAAACACTCGCGACTAATCACTTTTGAAATTCCCAACTGTATATTGCTAAGTCTATTAAACTTACTTCAAACTGCTAATTATTTCCATCTTATTTTCAGCTTACTCTTAATATCAACACCCTAGGCAAATAAAAGACACCAATATATTTTCATTGTATTAGGACAATAATGCTTTGGTTATTTAAGTTAAAAATGTAAAGATAAATGTATCTGCCATGTTATTATGTCCGTCATAATCATCTATAGGCATTTCATTTTTACAGTAATAATTATGTCGCAATGTACTTGCTACTAAATAAAAGAACTCGAAAATTAGAGCTCTGGAATTATGACAGCAAAAAAGAAAAAAGTGAGTTGTGGTTTCTTGTTTTAAATGTCGTATTTGCTCAATACTGTATTAATTTGTTTTGCTCACAAATTGTGGAGCAACTGGCAAGATTGAATTATGAATATTAATTCGTTCTGTTTCCTTAAATCTTAAAAAAACTCTAAACAATTATGCATTTTACTCTCGAAACCCTAAAAATCACTATTTATGGCCTATTGCCTTTGATTTGCTTCTCTCCAAATGCAAATAAGTATTGAGGTCATTATAAGTAAATTGTAAATTGTAAGTACATGACCCAGAAATTGCCATCGGCATTGGTTTGGTTAAAATGAACAACCAAATAATCTAATTTTTTAAATCACTAAATAGCTTTATGAACATTCGGTCTACAGTATGATTGTCACCAGCAGCAAGTTCCGACTTGATCTTCCTCATTTTTAGGTAATGAAGTACTGTATTTTTTAACAATTATAAAATGCAGAATTTTGACCTGTTACAAAACGTTGGTAATTATAATATCTATTTTAGGTGTTTGTCTTTTATTACATTAATTCGTCTTCTAATTTTCATCTCTGTGTTTAATTCCGTCAATGTAAATT